CCCCCCCCGCTGTGCAGTAACTCCACCAGAATCTAGTTCTAGGGAGGTAATAAGGAGGTTGTTTGATGGAGTGGGTGGTGAGAATCATCACAGGAGCACAAGATTTCTCTCAGCTGAGGTGCAGATCATGGTAAGTAACTAAAGTAAGATCTCCCCTTTCCTTGTCCCCACTAGATCCCCAATCTTCTCTTTCAACCTTGCCCCTACCAGCAATGCCCTCCCCATCATTCTGATACAATATCTATGCCTTGCAGGGGAAAATACTCTTTGCAGTTCTTGTGATGAATATTTTGACAAGACCTGCAGAAAGAACATGGGGGTCTGTCGACCCAGATATCCTGACCTTGCATGCCAAACCAAAGAAGTATATTTTCAAACTCCAACTGGAGGTGAGGCGAAGGCAAGAGAAGGGGAGGGATGGGAAGCTGACTTTATGACTTGGCTAAAGTCAAAAGTCTTTAGCCAAGTCATAAAGTCTGGAATCCTAGCTGACCCATCAGCCTTGGCATTGACCTAGCTGGTGGTCTTGGACATGTTCCTTCCATCCTGAGTTCAAGGTTCTAATCTATACAATGACCTGGTTTAACAGGTGGCCTCCAAATTCCCAACCTTTTCTTATCTTCAGTGACTAAAACTATCAGATGAGTCTGCTACATCTCTTCTGTGATGAGTGCATGCTCGTACTGGGGGTGGGGATAAGTTGTCTTGGGAAGAGACCTTCTTTCTGTGGAGCAGTTCTTAGTTTCCAGCTTGAAGGGGAGGGAGGGGCAACTTGGCTACATTTCCTCTCAGTGGTTTAACCTGCATATCTATGTCACTGCCCTACTTCCTTCAGAATATCTGTAAAAATACTCCACCTTGAGCTGCCCAAGAAGATGTATGGAGTATGTGCACTTTGTCAAGATGGAGAAAAATATCTTCTCTTGCTGCAACGAAAGCTACTGTAACAGTTTCCCAGAAAAAAAAATAACCTCATCCAAGAAAATAATTAAATAATTAAATCATAGGGGCATGTTTTTTTATTAAAAATTTTGTTATTCGTTTTATATACCAATCATAGATCTACTCTTCCCTCCTTTTGTCCCTCCAGCCTTCCCTCCTACCCCCATTCCCTCCTACAAGAAGTTAAGGCCTCTCATGGGGAGTCAGCAGAGCCTGGTACATTCAGTAGAGGCAGGTCCAAGGCCCTTCCCCTGCATCAAGGCTGTGCGAGGTATCCCACCATAGGTAGTGGGCTCCAAAAAACCTGCTCATGCACCAGGGTTGAATCCTGAACCTACTGCCAGGAGGCCCCTTAAGTAGATCAAGCTACACAACTGTCTCACTTATGCAGAGGGCCTAGTCCAGTTCCATGGAGGCTCCACAGGTGTTGGTCTAAAATTCATGAGTTCCCACTAGTTTGGTTTGGTTGTCTCTGTAGGTTTCTCCATCATGATCTTGCTGCCCCTTGCTCATAGAATCCTTCTTCTCTCTCTTTGACAGGACTCCTGGAGCTCAGCCTGGTGTTTGGCTGTGGATCTCTGCATCTGCTTCCATCAGTTACTAGATCAAGGATAATAATAGTTAGGTTATTCACCAATCTGATTACCGAGATAGGCTAGTTCAGGCACCCTCTCCACTATTTCTAGTAGTCTAAGGTGGGGTCATACTTGTGGATTCCTGGGAACTTGCCAAGCACCTGGTTTCTCCCTATCCCCATGATGTCTCCCTCTATCATGGTTTCTCTTTCCTTGCTCTCCTACTCTGTCCCTGTTCTAGCTCAAACCTCCCTTTCCCTTATGTTCTCATCTCCCATCCCTTACCCTCCATTGCCCCACTTCATCCCCAGTTAACTTGTGGAGATCTTATCTATTTCCCCTTTCCAGTGTGATCCATGTTTCCCTCTTAGGGTCTTCCTTGTTAGCTAGCTTCTCTGAGCTGTGTGTTATAGTCTGGTTATCCTTTGCTTTACATCTAGTATCCACTTATGAATGAGTACATATCATGTTTGTCCTTCTGAGTCTGGGTTACCTCACTCAGGATGATATTTTCTAGTTCCATCCATTTGCCTGAAAATTTCATGGTGTCATTTTTTTTTGTTACTGCTGAGTAGTACTCCATTGTGTATATGTGCCACATTTTCTTTATCCATTCTTAAGTTGAGGGGCATCTAGGTTGTTTCCAGGTTCTGGCTGTTACGAATAATGCTCCTATGAACACAGTTGAGCAAGTGTCTTTATGGTATGATTGAGCATCCCTTGGGTATATGCCCAAGGTGGTATAGCTAGGTCTTAAGGTAGATTGATTCCCAATTTTCTAAAAAACCACCATACTAACTTCCAAAGTGGCTGTACAAGTTTGCATTCTCAACAACAGTGTAGGAGTGTTCCCCTTGCTCCACATCCTCTCCAATAAAAGCTGTTATCAGTGTTTTTTATCTAACCATCTGACATTTATAAGATGGTATCTCAGTGTCGTTTTGATTTGCATTTCTCTGATGACTAAGGATGTTGAGCAATTCCTTAAATGTCTTGCGGTCATTCTTCTGTTGAGAATTCTGCTTAGCTATATAGTTCATTTTTTAAAATTGGATTGTTCAGTATTTTGATGTCTAGTTTCTTGAGTTCTTTATATATTTTGGAGGTCAGCCTTCTGTCAGATGTGGGGTTGGTAAAGATTTTTTCCCATTCTGTAGGCTGTCATTTTGTCTTATTTACCATATCCTTTGCCTTACAAAAAGCTTCTCAGTTTCAGGAAGTCCTATTTATTAATTATTTCTCTCAGTGTCTGTGCTACTGGTGTTATATTTAGGAAGTGGTCACCTATGCCAATGCAGTCAAGGATACTCACTACTTTCTCTTCTATCAGGTTAAGTGTAACTGGATTTATGTTGAGGTCCTTGATCCACTTTGACTTGAGTCTTGTACATGCCAATAGTCATGGATCTATTTGCAATCTTCTATATGTTGACATTCAGTTATGCCAGCACCATTTGTTGAAGATACTTTCTTTTTTTTCCATTGTATAGTTTTAGTTTCTTTGTTAAAAATCAGGTGTTCATAGGTGTGTGGATTAATGTCAGGACATTCAATTTGTTTCCAATGGTCCACATGTCAGTTTTTTTTGTTTTTGTTTTTGTTTTTGTTTTTGTTTTTGTTTTTTTTGTTTTGCCAATACCAAGCTGCTTTTATGACTACAGCTCTATAGTAGATTGTGAAGTCAAGGATGCTGATGCCTCTAGAGGTGGCTTTTTTGTACAGGATGGTTTTAGCTATCCTTGTTTTTTTTTGTTTTTCCATATAAAGTTTAGTATTATTCTTTCCAGGTCTATGTAGAATTATGTTGGCATTTTGATGGGGATTGCTTATGGTAAGATTGATATTTTTACTATGTTAATCCTACCTATCCATGAGCATGGGTGATCTTTCCATTTCATGATATCTTCTTCAATTTCTTTCTTCAGATACTTAAAGTTCTTGTCATACATGTATTTTACCTGCTTAGTTAGAGTTACCCCAAGGTACTTTATATTATTTGTGATTATTTCAAAGGAGTATGTTTCTCTGATCTCTTTCTCATCCTGTTTATCATTTGTATATAGGAGGGATACTGATTTTTTTTTTTAGTTAATCTTGTATCTGGCTGTATTACTGAAGTTGTTTATTAGTTGTAGGAGTTCTCTGGTAGAATTTTTGGGGTCACTTATGTATACTATCATATTGTCTGCAAATAGGGAAAGTTTGACTTCTTCCTTTCCAATTCGTATCCCCTTGATCTACTTTTGTTGTCTTATTGCTCTAGCTAGAATTTCAAGTACTATATTAAATAGCTATGGGGAGAGTGGACAGCCTTGTCTTATTCCTGATTTTAGTGGGATCAGTTTGAGTTTCTCTCCATTTAATTTGATGTTGGCTGTTGGCTTGCTGTAAATTACCTTTATTATATTTAGGTATGTTCCTTGTTATTCTTGATCTCTCCAAGACCTTTATCATGAAGGGGGTTGGATTTTGTCAAAGGCACATTCAGCATCTAATGAGATGATAATGTGGATTTTTTTCTTTCAGTTTGTTTATATGGTGTATTACATTGACAGATTTTCATATATTGAACCATCTTTGCATCTCTGGGATGAAGCCTACTTGATCATGGTGGATAAATTTTTGATGTCTTCTTGGATTCAGTTTGCCAGTATTTTATTGAGTATTTTTGCATCAATGTTCATGAGGGAAATTTGTCTATAATTCTCTTTCTTTATTGCATCTTTATGTGGTTTGGGTATCAGGGTAACTGTAGCTTCATAAAAAAGAGTTTTGTAATGTTCCTTCTGTTTCTGATCTCTTTCAATTGATTTTAGTTTGAAGTCTATTTTATTAGATGTTAGGATAGTTAAAGGAGCTTGCTTCTTGAGTCCATTTGATTGAAAATTCTTTTCCAAGCCTTTTACTCTGAGGTAGTGTCTGTCTTTGAAGTTCAGTTGTATTTCTTGTGTGTCACAGAAGGATGGATCTTGTTTTCGTATCCATTCTGTTAACCTGTGTCTTTTTATTGGTAAATTGAGTCCATTGATATTAAGGAATATTAATAAGCAGTGATTGTTAATTCCTGTTATTTTTTGTTAGTAGTGTTGTATATTTCCTTTCTTTGGTATTTGTTGGTGTGAGTTTATCTGTTACCTCTGTTTCCACGGGTGCATCTAGCTTCCTTAGGTTGGATTTTTTTTCTTATAGTGCTTTCTGTAGGGCTGGATTTGTGGAGAGGTATTGTTTAAATATGGTTTTATCATGGAATATTTTGTTTACTTCGTCTATTGTGATTGAGACTTTTGATGGGTATTATAGTCTGGGTTGGCATCATTGTCTCTTAGTGTCTGCATAGCATCTGTCCAGGACCTTCTGGCTTTCAGAGTCTCCAGAGAAGTCAGATGTTATTCTGATGTACCTTTATATGTTACATGGCCTTTTCCTTTGCAGCTCTTAATATTTTTCTCTATTATATATGTTTAGTGCTTTGATTATTATATGGTGAGGAGAATTTGGGGGGCAGTCTATATGGTTTTCTGTAAGCTTCTTGTATCTTCATAGGCATTTCCTTCTGCAGATTGGGGAAGTTTTCTTCTATGATTTTGTTGAATGTATTTTCTGTGACTTTGAGCTGGTATTCTTCTCCTTCTTCTATCCCTATTATTGTTAGGTTTGGTCTTTTAATGGTGTCCCAAATTTCCTGAATATTTTTTGTTATGACTTGGCTTTAATGTTTTCTTTGACTGATGAATCTATTTCCTCTATCATATCTTCAATGCCAGAGATGCTCTCTTCCATCTCTTCCATCTGTTGGTTATGCTTGCATCTGCAGTTCTTATTTGTTTACTCAGATTTTCTATTTCCAGCACCTTCTCCAGCAACATGTCTGCCTGCTCACTGCCATACTCCCAACTGCCATGCTCCTCACCATGATGATAATGGACTAAGCCTCTGAAACTGTTAACGGCCACCTTAATTAAATGTTTTCCTTTATAAGAGTTGTAGTGGCCATGGTGTCTCTTAGAAGCAATAGAAACCCTTACTAAGACAACACACATATGTAAAAAAACACATATGTAAATAAATGAACTGGATTAAGTGAAATAATGAACAGGGTGGCAAGGAGCAGGAGGAAAGAAGACCACTAGGACCATGACAAAGAGAAGGAGGGGGAAGCACCCTTCATTGTGCACAGCGGAAGCAAGGGAGAAAGGAGATGTGGACACGGGAATAAAGCAGGGGTCAGTTCTAATGTTAGCCAGGTCCTATTCTTTGCTCCTCATAGGAGCTGAAGGATGGGCAGTGGTGCTATGAAGCACTGTCTTTTGCACATGCCATGGTTATGACACTCATGAACTCACTGTAGCTATAGTTACCTAGGTAGGAAAGAAACTTGCTCGGGAATCTGTCTCTCTGAAAAAAACAATTCTGATGC